GATTACTTGTATACTATTATATTGTGAGACATCCCAACAGAGTGGGTGTGGGCTTGCAATAGCCTTTTATTTAAGATTTGATCTGATCAACCCTGGCTGGCATCTCGGTTCATGCCCTCCTACCTGCCTAACAAACTCACAAACTGGGCGAGGTTGGATTTTTCCAGAGATCAGGACATCTCTGTGAAGTCTCAACAAACTGGAAAGACAATATTAAAGTAAGGTTCCCACCAACCCGTAACTTGGTTAAGGAACTTTTGGCCCTACAGATAATGCTGGATCTCTTATAAGTTTTAGCCAGTGTTGCTATATTTTAGGATAATGGGGATAATTGGAAGCATTCAGCATTCAGGAGGCTACAACTTTAAGCAGTGGAAGTTCTGTGTCTTACATGACACCCTGCATTTGCCTTTATTCCATGCATTTAATGAAATACTACTACATAGCTATTTATCTACAAAGATCAGAATCATGCAAATTGTGGTATTTATTTATTATCATTTTATTTATTATCAAAATTTATATGCCGCCCAATCCCGAAGGACTCCGGGCGGCTGACCCAGCAGTATTCAGGGGTCTTTGGTACTCTTTGAGCTTGCTTGTTTTCTTGCAGACATTTCATTACCCGAACTAGGTAACACCATCAGCACTGATGATGTTACTTCGTTTGTGTAATGAAACGTCTGCAAGAACACAACCAAACTTAGAGAGTACCAAAGACCGCTCATTTTAACCCCGAGCTACAAATATTCTCCTTTATTGGTAAGTCATGGTATTCCCTGACATTATGGAAGCCAAGGTTGGACTTTGACAAAGCAAAAATAAGAATATTGACCCTTTTGAACTTTGGTGGTGAAGACTCCTGAGAGTACCATGAACAGCCAAAAATACAAACCGACGGATCATAAATCAATCCAGCGTTTTCATTTGAGGCACAAATGACCAGGTTCAAATTATCCTACTTCAGACACATTATGTGAAGATCTCACTCCCTGGAGAAGACTCCAATGCAGGGAAAGAAAGAGAAGATGGTGACCAACAACAAGATAATCACTCCAGTTAGAGTAGCGATGAGAGCTTAAGACCCAGTAAGGACAGATCATCATGGAGAAAATCTCAATGGTCACTAAGAGTCAACAATGACTTGATGGCATGTAATCATTACAGGTAGTCCTTAACTTACAACCATTCACTTAGACTGTTCAAAGTTACAACTGAGGCCATTTTTCACACTACCGTTGCAGCATCCCCGTGGTCGTGATCAAAATTCACCCGCTTGGCATCTGGCATGTCACCAGATACACTTAACATCTGTGCTACTGACTTAACAACTGCAGTGATTCACTTAACAAGTAGGACAAGGGTTGTAAAATGAGCAAAACTCACTTAACAACTGTCTTGCTTAGCAAAGGAAATCTTGGGCTCAATTGTAGTCATTAAGTCAAGGACTACCAGTGACAACATTATATGTTAGTCTTTCAGGTGTCACAAGATGCTCTTATTACAGCAAAGTTGCTTTCCTTGTTCACGTTCTCTCCCATGCATATAAATAGTCTCCCCCAACCTTTATAGAAAGGGAATTGTAAAATAAAAAAACCAAAAACCAAAAAGGAAAGTGATTGTTTGATCCAAATCCAAAAATGGTCCAGCCTGTAAAAATAGCTGATACAGCACAAAGGAACTACCTTGTGTGTATGTCTGCATTACATCTACAGATAGGTATACGAACAGAGACAGAAAATTTNTGAAATTTTTTGAAGAAGCGAGGAATGATATAATCTGTTTAGAGTTAGCCTAACAAAAGAGGAGTTAAAGCTCAAATAAAAGATGATACTAACTTTTTTAAAAGTTTATTTTAGAACATCTTTGTTAAAAGATGAGGGTGGGAGAGGGGAGGTAAATATTTGTAAAAGCTTTTTTTTTTCCAAAAAATTTCAATAAAAAAATAAATCCTCCCATTCCCTTCCATCCAGTCAGAGCTGAAGAAGCTTCTTGGATGAGAAGCAAAACTTCTTCAAAGAGAAACCGGAAAGTCCAGTTGCCTCTTGAAAAAAGCACTTTTGGGAGGATGTAGATTGTTTGGGGCAATAGGCTGACTCTATAAACTGCTTAGAGGGGGCTGTAAAGCACTGTGAATCAGTATATGAGTCTAAGGGCTATTTGTCTCCGTGACTTTCAGAACAGATAATCCAGTGGTGCTTTCACTTTGAGAAGGATGGGCATCTTTTCTAATTCTATTTAGAAAATGTATTTACGCTGGCTGGGGAATCCTGGGAGTTAAAGTCACCAAGGTTAAGAAATACTGTCCTAGCATCTTGGGTTATTCTAGACTTCTTGGCCTTGATTTCTGGCTTAGCGTTTCATCTTATCTAACCGTATTCACACGGCATTCTCAACATCTTTGCCATCAAAGGTGAATGTCTCAATTCCCAGTAATTTTAACGGAGGGGAAGATGGGCTCAAACATGAATAACTTGTTGCACGGATCCCAGAGGACGTTCAAACTGTTCCAAGCCAGATGTTACACGCTCACGATGGTGTCATTGGGGGTTTCTGTAAAACATCAGGCAGATTTTAGCCATCTCCTGTCTCTTTTGAGATGAAATAGCATAGGATTTGCATTTGGTCTGTCACCCATGATTGGTTTCTTTACAAAAGCTCACAGAAGCTTCTGAAGCGCCAACCCCAAACTAAAAACTAAAATCCTAATCAACGCGAACAGTTTATCTCTATATTAGTGTACTTGGCCCTTCACTGCTTATCCTGATATGACCAAGTAGAATTAACTCCATTGCTAATATGGGACATTTTCTAGGTTTCGGTGAATCATAAATTAACCACGTGGACTGCTGTAGAACACATGAAGCCATAAAAATCTCTCTTAAAGTAAAGGTTCCCCTCACACATGCGTGCTAGTCATTCCCAACTCTAGAGGGCGGTGCTCATCTCCATTTCAAAGCCAAAGAGCCAGCGCTATCCGAAGACGTCTCCATGGTCACGTGGCCGGCATGACTAAATGCCGAAGGCGCACGGAACGCTGTTACCTTCCCACCAAAATGGTCCCCATTTTTCTACTTGTATTTTTTACATGCTTTTGAACTGCTAGGTTG